ATTACTAACTACCACTGTCTGGGATCTGCTGTCAATGTAAGACGAGAATTAGCTATTGCTAAGTATTGATAAACTATTTAAGGAACCAAAAGCAATTTATAGCCCTTTGGTCAACGGTAGAAGGTAGCTGCGTTCGATGTTAGCTTAGTTAAGGTGCCTCGGTCGTTGATGTATTGCTGTAGATAGTAATTAATTTTCATCCGAAAATGTCACCTGATCGCCTGTTAATAACTTTGGCGCTCTCCTGCAACTTAGCTCCCATATCTGAAATCCCACGGGATTGCGATATATGGTGAAATTAACAGAGAATTTACTATTTAGTGTATATTATAGAATGTTGAGGCTTTAACTTGGTAAGCGCATAGTATAAAAAAACAGTTTATTGAAAAGCTTTTTTGTGTAAAAAGGATTGTACTACCTATTTATTGCTTGCTGTATGGAATGTCACGGATAATCGCAATTAATATTGTAGTTATTTTAAAAATACAGTATGTTAAGTGTAGAGGGTTGGTAGAGACTTATTTTATTTCTAATTGAAAGAAACCAAAAAACTTGAAAATAAACGCCGGTTTATTATTGAAAGCAAGGCATAAAAATAAAGGAAAAAGGTACAAACAATTTTTGACAGATGAGAGATCTTGTACATTGGCGTAGGTTCACGTACAGTCAGCCTAGTTTCAAATTATAACAAATTGAAGACAAATTGCATTTATTTTAAATATTAATTAAATTTAAAAAAACTAATAAAAATACAAAGTATTTAACAAAGTCTACCTGGAAGGTTTTTTGTATAAAACTAACTCTTGGCCACAATTTTATTATATATTAAGCGACTATGTTACCGGTAGTGGTATGCGTCTGTTCGATTCTCGGGCCGGGGGAAATATTTGTATGGCCTGCATTTATTTCTCTCGTGAGTTTGGGTGTAATTTGTGGTTGTCTATGTGTGTGTCCATGGCTCCCGCGACACAGGGTTTCTCCAGTGCGGGGCTATGTTGAGTGTGTGCGTTATTATTATTATGGTGACCCCTTTCCAATGAACTAAAATATAAGCAGCAGTTCCATATATTTCGGACAGGAAGTTGGGAGCATTTGGTTTATAATATTTTTCACATATTTATTACCATTTAGTCTGGCTATTTTTATTTAGGTACTGGGTTGTCCTGTTTCAGTACTTGAAGTCGTCTTTGGTCCTCAAAAAAAAAAATGTAAATATACATTTCTACCCATCGACTGTGTTTTTTATCTTCTCCTTGTGAAATATTTCGTCCAGGGAAATACTGCCACCTTATCTATGTCTGCCTGTGTCAATCCTTGTGAAGCGAGAGTGTTCGTGTGGATTGTATGTATATAGGTAGTGTTTGTGTGGCGTGAACACTCAATGAATCAATTATGAGATGCAATGAATGTACTAAACGTGAAATATTTAAATAAATAAATGAAAAATATATAAAATATACTGCAAATTAAAATTAAATTATAAAGTGTAAAAATAATAAATAATATAGTATTATGTAGTGTAGTGTAGTGTAGTATAGTGTAGTGCAGTGCAATGTAATGTAGCCTAATATAACATATTGTGTAATATGTGCTTTAACTCTAAACTCTGCCCGACTTAATACAATACATTGCCTAAGTCGTAGATCCTAAATAATAATAATGGTAATGGTAGGTAAATCTAATTAGGGCGTAACTTGCGTAGGTATTAGGGGGTTAACTGTTAAGTGATCTGTGGTTAAGTAGGCTACGTGTTGTCTTTGTGCGTAAGAAAAAGGTTTTCTATTTCCGATTTAAGGTTGGCTTTGGAAACAAAAAACAAATCAAGGTTACTAAATTTTCCTATTTTTTTTTCTCATTGTGTGTATTAGTGCATTTCGGTGATAATACACGCATATGCACTTATCAACTTATGTCTCAGGGTAACGGCTGTAGTAGCAGTGCAACTGTTATCAATCGACCGAATATCGACCGACCCCAGACGCGCGGCTTGTTTGTTCCGTCACTTGATATAATAAAAAAAATTTGAAATTATTATTATTTATAATTATTAATACAAAGATCGAACACTCAGAAAAAATTCCTTCGATCCGGTCGGATTCGAACCAACGTCTTCTTGCATACCGTGCCAGACGCTATACCAACTAAGCCACCGAACGAACCTACGGACCTCACGAATTCTTCTATGTGCTTGCGTCGTGTCTTTGTACTTGGTCTTTCAACGACTTTTTAGTCGTAGCTTTTTAGTGATAAATCTGTCATTTCTGTTCGTCCCACACGCAAAATAGGCGCTTTGTCGTCTAGTTGCGGATACCAGCCCGTTGCACCAAGTACCAAGTACCAAGTAGTACAGAGTCAATATCACGTGTTTCTCGTCTTCAAATTAGTTTTCAGAACACAGATTCCTTTACCATACCCCTTTCGAAGGAGGAGGCAAATCGTTTGAAGTGTCACCATAACAATGACACAAGGATGGAGTGTTCCAACTTTCTTGTTGACCTAAGCTAAGGAGTAACGATGACGGGGAAGGGGCCTCTTCTTCTTATCGTGTCGACACTATTATTCACTTTGAATGCAAATTGCTACCTTGACTGCGTAAGTGCTGCATGGATTGTGTTGGGGCACCGCAGTCACATTGGGTTAGACTATAGCATCCCTGATACCCCATTTACACATTTTGTCTCTGCATCGACCAACATCAATGCGAAGTCGATTCAGGGACTTTCACATGAGCGACGATAGGAAATGAATTGCAAACTTCCTGCGCACATACTTTGAAACGTATCCGATAGAAAACCGACAAGCTATTTTTCATTTTTCACAGAATCTTTAAAAAAATTTAAGAGTAACATTTTCGCTCTAACGGATCCAAGATACTTGACTAGTACCGAGCAGAGACATCCCAAGGGTGACAGAAATACTCATGCATGAGCGAATTAATCCTTAATAAGGTTTGAATTGCTGTGTTGTTTAATAGACTTATTATAATGAAATTACAGGCACGTGGGACTTGTCAACTTACGTCTCAAGGCAACGGGCGTAGTGGCAGTGACCCTCAGATCTGTGCGATTTAAAATCTGAGTGGCACTGATGCTGTTATGAACCGGTAGCTTGTCATCGGGCGCACGACTTGTTCGTCCCGTCAATTAATATTATAAAAACAAGCCACGACTGGCTGAGTATGGAGAGGTGTTGTTTCCTACATTTATGTATGTTAGTCAATGTTAGGTTTGGCAGAAGAAGCACGAAAGTAGAATAATATATAATGCAGTAAAAATAACAGCTCTGAGAAGTATCTATGGCTAGTGTGACTACAGGATAAATTACGGAACAGTGTGATGCGTTGCGGAGTGGATTAAGTTGTAGTGACAAAGATAGAGAAAGGGACGCTTAGACAGTTCGGACCTGTAGAGATTACGAATGAAAGAAGATTAATAAAACAGATTTTAGAAACAGAGAACATTGACTTACAATTATATGGACGTCGGGTTCGCGCTAAAAAGTGTCCGAACTTATAGGGCGTTAAAATTGTATACAAAGCGTCATTCACACTTTAGTCTTCGTTTGTTCGACTGACAGCGAAGCAAGCAAAGTTAGACAGTACTGCGATGACATTACAATTTAAATTCAACGGTTTAGCCTTTTCATATTCCTTTACATGTCACTACGTTTAAATAGGTTGACTTGTGACATTTTTTTCGTGGTTTTTGTATTAGACCCGTCGTCCATTTATTTGTAAGTCAATGACAGAGAAAGAAACCTTTAGAGGTATAAGGCGTATAATTTACCACCATGTCTGCGACTTGTTTGCCCCATCCACTTGGTATTATAAAAAAACGATTCTTTTCGGGATCGAAATCACATATATGTTGTTTTTTTATCAACTTTTAAAAAAGGATGAGGTCCTCAATTCGACTCTATTTTTTTATGTATGTTAGGCAATTACTCCGGCGTTTGTGAGCCGATGTAGATGGTTCTTTTTCTGTTGGAAAGATGGTACTTCAGTTTTGGTCCCATTTAAATTTGAAGAAAATGTTCCACCTCTACGGGTGGCAAACTAGGGGATGAATCCAGTTTCGCGCGCTTTCCGGTAACCGATTTTAATTAAATTTGGCAAATACATGTAATTCCACGAACTTTTGAGGTCTTTTTTTAAAAAAAAGGTTATAATTATTTGAAACTTCTAAATGTATACGCGATTCGAAAAACAATTAGCTTCATTTTGTATGTGCAACAGTCGCGAAAACCGAAGAATTCGCGAGTTATTATATTTTGAAAGATATGTTATACTGAATATTCGCATTTTGTTCACTTCATTTGATTCTGTTTACGATTTACTAGGTAACATAATTGAAATGCCATATACAGAACTTTACGAACAAATTATTTATTCATAAGAATAACGGATATTAAAATCTAACGGTGCTTTACACGCTTAAACGCCGGCCACAAACTTGTCTACAACACTGTACGGGTACACTTTGATAAAATTAAAATTCCTTTTGTTTTATTTAATTTTTATATCTGTCTGATTTCGTATAATACTATTTCTCAAATAACATACATGAATTTATGGCAATTTTGAACCGACTTCAAAAATGGAGGAGGTTCTTACCTTACGCAATTACTCAGATATTTGTGAACCGATTTAGTGGCTCTTTTTTGTTGTCAAGGGGGTAGCTCAGTAGTGGTCTCATTTAAATTTGAAGAAAATATTCCGGCCTTAAGGGTGGTAAATGAAGGGATGAATCCGATTTATTGGATTTCACACACTTTCCGTTAACCGATTCCAATAAAACGATTCAAATAGATGTAATTCTATAAACCATGGAGGTCGTTTTTTATAAAAAGTTATAATTACTTGAATTGAAGTCGAGTACAGATAAATCCCTTAATTATCGAGTAGATGGTAGTGGTTAAGACATCATCATCATTTTTATAATATGCTATTAAATTAATATTTTACATTGAGAGCAAAATATATTAACTTCAAAAATTCTCACCTCGAATCTGAGTCCGCCGACGGGCGGCTCCGCATAAGGAACTCGCTCAAAGCTGGCAAATGTCCTGCCTTTTATAGTCTCTTCCCAAATACCCTCCAAACTGCCACCGGGAACTTCTACTGTAGGATTGAAGTCATCCCCAAAAGCAAAATTAAAAACAATAAAAATTAAAAACGGAAGCATTTCGCGTGCGGCTTAGTCGTGTTATAGCGAATCACTAACAGAAGCTGCAGCCGGAATGTGTTAGCTTTATGGTAATCAGAAAAGGTAAACAACCTGACTCCCTTACTGTGTACGCATGGTGGGGTCATGGTACGGTGTAGTGGATTCTTGTCATAAATAAAGAAGAATTAATTGCTTAGAGTAAATGCAAATATTGGACATTTTGCTGCGGTTAAAAATATACAACCCACAGCAAGAAGATTTTTTTTAAATTTTTATTTTAGACGAACACAACACTTGACATCCAATATTGATTAAGACATTAATTTGCTTAAAAATTAGATTTGAACCAGAATGCCATTTAGAGAAGTAACTGTCAATTTATTACAAATTACAAAATGTATGTTGGTATAACTATAATCTCAGTACAGAGTACTAAAAATACCGACCTCAAAAGTACGTGGAATTACGTCTATTTGATAAGTTTTATTGAAATATCCTTAAATTCGCCACTATACAAGACTTGACACTGGAGATAAAACTATATTGAGAGAAAAACGCCTTGAATTGGAGAAATAGCAAAATCAACCATTAAATTAATTGCTCCTTAAGTAAACTTTAGGCACTATTTATAAAAATGAAACTTCATTCGTGAACAGCCACCCTTAGAGGTGGATGATTTTCTTTAAAATGAAATGGGACCACTATGGAAGTACCCCCTTTCAAACAAAAAACAAAAAACAGTATAAAAGCGAAAAAAGAAGGGTTCAACTGGACTTTTAAAATACATGACACTTAGAGCTTCTTGTGAAAGAGTTCGTCCTGGGAAGTACTGCCACCTTACCTGTTTCAGCCGCCAAGCAGTAATGTAAGCACTACTGCGTTCCGGTTTGTAAGGGTAAGAGTGCTGGTCAAACTACAGGCACATGGGACTTCACAACTTATGTCTCAAAGTGACGGGCGCAGTGGCAATGTCCCTGCGATCTTTGCGATTTAAAGCTCTGAGTGTCACTACAACTGTTATGAATAGGCGTGTTGCTTACCACCAGACGTGAAAAAATGCTTATGGGCCCACCAGTAAGTAATGATCGCCCACAATTTAATTATTTGTTGATAGTGCCTTGCAGTCTTTTTTTCTTTTTTTAATCTTTTTTTGTACTAAAACAATCCACTAGTTTTCTTACCGCGCAGCCTGCGCTAAACATTATTACATGTAATAAGTTTAATTTTTTTTATACGTACGATAGTTAACGAGCGCTGGTCTATTGGGAAAACGGTTGCTTCAGAACTAAGAGGTCGAAGGTTCAAAAGCCTGTGGCGAAAAAAAACTGTCGCTATCGGTGATGGAAAACATAGTGATCTTTTTCTTAATCGTGAATTAACAGGTACCTTACAGAGGTACTCTAATACTTAAGCATTTTCATGTAAAACTTTGTACCCATTGTAAAGAGAAAAATAAAGATAATTATTATGAAAGATTATTTTGATTTTGCATTTATTTGGACGACAACACACCACGCGTGTGCACACACCACATAAATACACGGATTTAGATCCGCCGTGCTCCCGACCCGACACGCGCCCGATCCGCACCCGCTCTATATGTGTTTTCCGCTTTATCGCGACGATGCTCCTTTTATTATTGGACTATATTGAATTTGAATAGTCTGTTGCCACCTTGACTTCTTTATCCGTGGCTGCGTATAGATCTTCCCTTGTACAGGGCCCCAATTCTGCTAATTATTTTGAATCTACTGGTCATTGTAATTAATTCCATTAAGATTCCGCTGAGATTATATATAGGAATTATGATATTTGTTATTCTGTTAAAATGTTGTTGGAATGGCAGTTGAGTCTCAATAGAATGTCAGTGGAATGGCAGTGATTCATTCATTCATTCAACCACTAACGATTGATGTTGCCTAACTGGTTACCTGTCAGCATTCCGAAATTACATTTTCCAGAAATAACGTTGCTAGATTGAATTTTCGTAACCTCGAAAATAATTTTGAGAGGAAAATGTTTTCTCTTTTTAACTTTTTTTTTTTTTTTTTTTTAACCCTAGATTACTAACCTTATTTTTCAACGCTTATTACGAACCTTCGTCGTTTCGACTACGCTTATAAAAAAACGGATTTCACAGGGTTTGTGAAATAAAATAGGTATGTATATTTTTTGTGTTTATTTTTAATAACAATTATGTACCAATATATTATTATGCAACATATTCGTTAGAAACAGTCTGTTATATGAGATCATAGTTTTCATGCAAAATCTACATTTATGAAATATTTAAATTGCTTACATATTAAATTTATAAATGTTTGAAAAAACTTAAATTATTAAAATTAACAAAACAAATGAACTAAACAACAAAACATTTTGGTACAAATCTGGGAACTAGAACATTTGTGACATACTTGAAGCTTGCGTTCACAACACAACATTTTTTTGTATTTAGTGCAACTGCTTTTCGCTTTGCAAAGGGACACATCGCACCATTGACTTACAAATAAATGGACGACGGGTCTAATACAAAAACCACGAAAAAAAATGTCCCAAGTCAACCTATTTAAACGTAGTGACATGTAAAGGAATATGAAAAAGCTAAAACGTTGAATTTAAATTGTAATGTCATCGCAGTACTGTCTAATTTTGCTTGCTTCGCTGTCAGTCGAACAAACGAAGACTAAAGCGTGAATGACGTTCTGTTTACGATTTTAACGCCCTATAAGTTCGGACACTTTTTAGCGCAGACCCGACGGCCATATAATTGTAAGTCAATGCATCGCACAGATTTTCTTCATCTTTAGTATACGAATACAATGCATCTCTTTCTTCAGTTTCAAGTGTAGAACTACTATTACAACTACTTCCTGGTATTTAAAAAATTTATGTAATTTAGTCACGCAGAGCCTCCAAGGGTTGATATTGTTAATCTTTTTTTGCATGTGTGACTCCCCTTTTTAAATATTGACGTCGCAACAAAGGCCTTTTCCTTTGCATTCATAATATTAGTTACATAAATAACATAATTATGTATGAATGCAATGTTGAGAATTCTATAAAAATTGTACTACAAAGGCCATCGCCGAGGTAATGCCGCTTTGGGGTAATGCCGCCTTGGGGTAATGCCGCCGATATCAATAGAATCTTTGTCCTGCAGAAACGTGCAGTTAGGGCAATTTACAATCTGGGCCCTAAAGTATCTTTGAGAGATAAGTTTAAGGAAATTAACATTCTTACACTAGCCTCACAGTACATTTATGAAAATGTAATTTATGTTAAAAGGAATAATAATTAATAGTAATTTATTTATGAAAAATAGTGACAGACATAACATTAATACGAGGAATAGAAATAAACTAGCTTTTCTTGATAGTCGTCTTCACAAAGTCAAAAAATCATTTAAGGGGCAATGTATACGCTTCTATAACAAGATTCCGGTTGATATACAAAATTTGCTTTTCACGAGGTTTAAAACTATAGTGAAACAAAAACTTTATACTACAGGTTATTATACAACTTCTACGTACTTGGATGACAAAAATCCGTGGTAGTAACCCGTTTAGGTCATGGAGGTAGTCTCGATCTCTGATGTTTCAAATAAAAAAATAAATATTGTAAATGTCATTTACAAAGAGCAACCCCTAGAGTTTCTTGCTCATTTTTCTCAGGGGAATCTGCCTTACGAATGAGCGGTAGAGTTTAATATTGTGACGATTTCAAGTGTAATAATGCTTACCTATGAAATAAAGATTATTTTGAATTTGAATTAGAATACACTTTAGAAAAACCTCAAATTACATTTACCTACACCTAGTTAGGTTTTGTACCATGCTTCCAAACTTCTATACTAACCCATACTAGTTAAAAGTAATTACACTTTGGCAAACAATGCATAGATGGGTATACCGTGCCGATCGATACAATAAGTTTTAAACCAACAGGGGAACTTCTAAGTAGATGCGTAGAATTTAATAAGTAGAGTTTGAGGCCGTAATATTTTATGGTGGCTATAGAAGATCGTTAAAGCAAAATGGGGTAATTTGTGCAATCATTGTTAATCAATTGGCGTCATATTGTTGTAATTTTATATGCCTCCTTATGTTAGTAATCATAGTTTATATGTACTTCTGGATTATGAAACGTTTTAATGTTGATTTTATTGAAAATTATGATGTTTTACAACTTATTTTGATTTCTAATTATTCGAATTGTATTATAGTACCAAAAGTATTGCAGAGACCAGGAAGTAAGGGACTGCTAGACGAGTACCAGCCAGGCCTTTTTTTGTATACGAGTAAAGCAATCCTCGTTCCCGCCGCGGGATGTATAGTCCCTTTCTCAAACAATGCGAGGAAATATTAAAAGACTAAAGAGAGGAAGACGATAATAGAAAAAGTAAAAAAATATCAATATTTGACATTTGGCTCTTGTTTTAAATTAGGCGGAGTACAATTCATTACTGTATTTCCTTTATCTCCCTTCTCACTAGAACTCATTTTCGCCTCGAAAATACGAAAAAGACGGATCAAATAGAAAATAACACCAAAGTACTTACTTTAGTTTGTTTTACTGCATTTTTATTTTTTTATTTAAGGTTGCGGAAATTCGCTAGATTGTGGTGTTCATTGGGGGAGGCCTATTGTCCAGCAGTGGCCGTCTTTCGGCTGCAATAAAGATGACGAACATATCCTTGGTATACATAATAAAGCCACACGTGATCATTCGTTAAAATGTGTTTTCACGTATACAAATTATGTATATGTGAAATTTTATAATTCTTCTATTCATTTCCATAAAATTGTCTTTAGTTAACGTCTTCATGAAAAAATTATTAAGTATAAGTATAATTAAAAATTAAGTATAAGTGAACATTTAGAGTCTTCATGAAAAAGTCATAAAAATGGCCTTTATAATCGTACCGCTTCAAACTAAATCCATCTCAGGTTACATAACAAAAGTAGACGAATGCAATT